TAAAAGAAAAGTGATGATGTGCACATAGCTGGCTATTTAAGGGATAATCAAGTAACTGGAAACACACAATACTTGCTCTTTTAATTTACATGCGTAGCACTCAAATATGCGGCCCACCTAAAACTTCCCACCCAGTAATATTTTTTCACACACCCTGTTCCAAATACCTGCTCAATTATTTTGAAGTATTGATTTATTTCCCCTCTTATCTCTTACATCATTTTTGTTTGTTTGTTATTTTGATTTTCATTTTTGTATTTTTAGATTGTAAACTGCCCTGCGATCTTCGGATGAAGGGCGGTATAGAAATTAATTAAATAAAATAATAATAAGGCTATAAAAAGCCACTTAGCATAGCCATCTAAATAAGAAAACTCAGTAAAGAAGAAAAATAAAGATGAACAGCAAAAGCTAAAATACAAAACCAGTAAAGAGCATCCAAATCATTCAGCATTCTATATTTAAAATACAAACTTTGTTTTCATCACTCTCCCGAAGGCTAGCAGGAAAGGATCTCAGTGAGCTTTTCTGGACAGGAAATACCACAACAAGAGTGCTACCATTGAAAAGGCCCTGCTTCTCTGGCCATTCTTCAGTGGCTCAAGGTACCAAGAGTACCACCTGGTATTAATCCTAAGAACACTTGCAGTTCCAATGTAGAAATCCAGGGGGGAAAGCTTTGGATTCAATCAGAAGTTGTGTTATAAAGGATGTTATAAAGGGCCTTTTTGCCCTCTGGAACACCCTCCCATCAGATGTCAAGGAAATAAACAACTATCTGACTTTTGGAAAACATATGAAGGCAGCCCTGTTGAGGGAAGTTTTTTATGTTTGATGTCACAGAGTGTTTTAATTTGTTGGAAGCTAGTCAGATGGGCGGCATATACATTTTTTAATACTATTTTTATTATAGATTACTTCTTGTCAAGCAGGATCTGCTTTTTTCATACTCTAAGATCCTGTAGTAATGCCATAATGCTAGTTTCGGAGTAGTGCATTTTAAACATCAACGGAGCCTGGTTTCTCAAAACCCTTTACTTGATGTCAGGAGGAAAATTGGGCTGTGAAAGAGAAAAATGACACTCATGTTCAGACTTCAGTTCTTTCAGTGAACATAACATATTGGGGGATAGCTCAAGTTGGAAGAGCATGAGACTCTTAATCTCAGGGTTGAGTTGCAGGAGGTTGAACTAGATGGCGCTCATGGTCCCTTCCAACTCTACAATTCTATGGTTCTATATGTATTATGGGTAATCAAAGCCAACCAAGAGAAGCTGGACTAGTTACTGGAGGTGGGGCTTAAATCAAACCCCTTTGTTTTTGTTTGGGGAAAATATTGACACCAATGGTCTTCCCAATTTCCATCGCCGTTTGTTATATGGATGGCCACTCTTGTCACTTCTTGTAGCCACCTTACAGTTCTTCAGATTCTGGTAATGCCTTCCTGTTTGTTTGTAAATCTTCTTTACTCCAGTTTGAATAGGTTGCTGATCTGAAATATTGACAGTATGAAATAAAAATTACCTTGCTCTCTTATGACTCATTGTTAGGTACAGGGTAGGTAAATGACTAACGTGACTCACACCAAAGTACTGCAGAGGCATAATCCGTCTTGCTGAAGTGAATAAAGCTTGCACAGCTTTGAGCATAAGCAATTCAGTGTGAAATCTCACTATGCATCCCTGTTGGTGGCACAACTGCTATGTTCTTTGTAACTCTTCTCGGGGTGGGGAGAGGACACAGAATCATAGTGTTAGAAGGGGCCTCAAAGGTCATCTGGTCCTACCAGCTGCCAATGCAGAAAATATGACCTTGAGAGGTGGCCATCCAGCCAGGTCCTCAGGCTGACAATACCAATGAACAAAACAAGGCACCAAAAACACAGTGAGACACTATTTTATTTTTAATTTAACAAAAAAATTGTCGGCTTTTCTAGCTGAGTGTGTCATGTTTTGGTCTGAAGTTGTAAAGCTTATCAAATGCCAAAAAATTAACAAGTGTCTAAATTTGAGCCTTCCTTCGAGCTTGAGGTCCTGAACCAAATGACTGTCCTGACACAAACACACACACACCACCCAATTGGCCCTGCTTAAAAACCTCTAATGGAGACGACCCCACCACTGTGTGAGTTTTTGACTTTAGAATAGCTTGGCCCATCAGGTAATCATAATGTAAGAAGACCTTTCTTTTTTAATGTCAGTATTCTTGTAGGTGCATTCTTAACCACAATTATTATTGTACATGCCATGGCAAGTGGGACGGATAGGGAGGGTGACATCTCTTGGATGCAATGAACAGTTAATTGTGTTATATACACATGGTCAATTCTTCAGTTCTACTTTAAGGAGTCAACATTTCTTTCTGGTAGAAAGCCAGTAGTCAGCTATTATATATTGTCCTTACTGAGTCATGTGGGGATAAACATTTAACTTTATTTATAGCAACATGTGAAATTGTGAACATGGTGACTTGCTTTCCATTACCTTTCATAAATGATCGTGTCGAGTGTGTGAAGGGGGGCAGTTATATCTAAGAGGCTCTTTGCGTTGGTCATGAGAATAGTTATCTGAACATTAATGTTTGTTCTATTAATGTGATCCATTATTTTAATGGGTCCAACTTGCTCAGGGGAAAGTGCTGGCACGGTAAAGCTATTGCGTGGAAGCTAGCCAAAATGTTTCTTCTTGTCACAAGGCCTGCCTTTTAAAAGCTGAGTCTGTGCTACAGAAATCCAGAAGCCACTGCTTCTGAAATTCAGCTTACAAAACGAGGGGAAATACCAAGGGAAAGGATAGCATAATGCCCCCCCCTTGGTTCTTACCTTTTGCCACCAGGAATTAATGGACTCATCGGTTGTTTCCTCTCACAGAGCTTAGGTAGCTGAGCAGCTCAACCTGTTCTAGCCCCCAAGTCCATTTCACCTTTTTGTAGAGGGTTCTTGTTTATCCAGGACAGGAGCCTGGTTTTTTTTTCAAATCCCGACTGTCACAATGAACATAATAAAAAGCTTCCATTTTGTGTTTTGGAGGAAATAGTGTAGTAAAGAACATTCCAAGTTCTCGTGCCCTCTCTCTGCTATGGCTGCCTTCCAAGAAGCTGTTAAGTTGGACATATGGCATCTTTCAGATATGTTTAATAGTTATTGTTCTGAATGAACTAGACCTGGAGGCTTTTGCGGAAGCAAGGACATTTTGCAGATTAAGAGAGACGTATACATAAAAATGTCTGCAGCTTCTGTTCTTTCTCTTCTCAGTGAGGGGGTGTAGGGTGGGGTTAAGTATGAACATGTACTCTGTTTAACAGTGGAATCTCTCTCTATTTCCCACTCCTTGGAGGCTCTGCAGGCTGCAAGTGCCTTTCTTTTGAAAAATGAAAAATAAATCCTGTGTCTGTGCTACCCAGCTGCTTAAAATAACAAATATAATAAGCAAAGCAAAAAGTTACCATACTGACTAATGGCCAGGCCAATCTACAAATAAATATTTATTTAGAATATACTTTAAAAAACCTAAAAAAAAACAACACTTAACGAGGTCTAAGCTGTGTACAATAAAATTGTAGGTAACTCACAGCTAAAATCCACAATATAATTTTTAAAAAATGCCACAAAACCATCAAGAGATAAATATATATAAAAAAAACCTGTATAAAAACAAATATAGGTAATTGAATAATTGCTGTGTTGTTTTGCCAAAACAAAGCTTTCAGCAGGCCTGTAAAAACACAGGTGCTGCCACACTAACTGAACAGCTCCCCACAACTGAGGAAAGGACCTCAGGTAGCATTTGCAGAAGTGCAAATAAGCATGTATGTGGCAAGACACCCTTAAGTAAATTGGACCTGCAAAGTATTTACAAGTTTTTAAAAAAAGAAGAGGAAAGAATCCTATTATAAGTGTGGACAACTTGATACAGTAGTTCAAAAGGCATCGTTTTAGGCTGTACCAACAGCATCTGTAATCACATATAATATCTTAATAAACTGTACAACTACGAAAGTAGGTCAGCATTATTTTCTTCACGGCTGTAGGAACAAGCTTCTTGTTAGTTTACTCTCTCAGCCATGACTACACCACACCCACTCTCAACTAAAGCACTTATATAATACAACACTTCATTTCTATTGCCTCAGTAATCTTTTCAACAGCCATGTAAAAGGCAGAGCAAGCATTATTTGCCCTATATTGGAAGGTGAAATACAAATAAAAGTGTAATGGATAGGGTAGTGGTTCATTTAGGGCCAAACTAGTTACCGCCATGTTGACTAAATGGATGTCCACCTGTTAGAATGGGTTACACTTAAAAGGGCATGTGGGGAATGCAGTGAATCTCCACTTCCTCATCTCGCATTCTGTTGCTTTGGTGAGTGTTTTTCCCTTCCATCCTGTGTCTGCTACTAAAAGGCTGCCTTCAAGGGTCTCCTCCCCTACATGCCTTTAGTGCAGTGGTGTCCAAACTTTTTTCAAAGAGGGCCAGTTTTGATGAAGTGAAGGGCTGTGAGGGCCGACCAAAGGGCTGAGTTTTTGAGGGGGGTTTTAAGGATTTTACCCCAGGAAATAAACTGCCACAGGGGCCAGATTAAACCGACCGGCGGGCTGGATTAGGCCCCCGAAACAGACTTTGGACATGCCTGCCTTAGTGTAATTAAACTCCACCCTTCATTGCTCTGTGGCTCTGTGGTTTAACCCACAGTGCCACCCGCGTCCCATGCTATAACTGCTACCCAGAGGGAAAATGATAGTTTCTCTCCCTCTCTCATAACACTAGAACTTGCAGACACCCAATGAAGATAAATGTTGGAAGATTTAAGACAGAATAGTCAAACTATGGAACCTGCGGAGGCAGTGATGACCATCAACTTGAATGGCTTCAAAAGAGGACTGACAAATTCATGGAGGAGGGGGCTGCCAATGGCTACTGCCTCCGCAGTTGGAGGCAGCAATGCTTCTCAACAGCAGTTACTGGAAGCCATGGGAGGGGAGAGGGCTCTTGCGTCTTCTCCCTGGTTTCCCACAGGCATCTGCTTGGCCACTGTGTGAACAGAATGCCAGACTAGATGAGCCATTGGCCTGATCCAGCAGGCCATTCTTACACTCTTATCCCATTCACCACACATGAGAATACAGTGGAACACCTTCTACTCATTCTCCATCACCTGCCCTCAAAAACCATCTCTCTCAATGTCCTTCTACACCATTGAAGGATTTTTAAGGTGGACACCAGGCATTAAAAAAAAAACAATGCAGGGAACGATTTGGGCATTTGAGTCAGGAAAGCGTGGAACAAAAACATTATTTCTCATGATATTTCCATGCCTCTGGTCCCAAGGCCTCACACTTTGAACTGTTGGCACTAGGTGTGTCTTCAGTAGCGCCTTTCTGCACAAATAAGGTATGGATGGGGTTGCAGAGTCATGCCTAACTTTGGCTTAAGGTTGGGAGTCCAACCACTAGGAAAATGCAGATGAAATTGTTGAAGTAGTGAGGTGAAAAATAAAAACATTTCCATTCTGGCCAACTGTTCGCCTAAACAGTGCCTTCGCCCTGAAGGGAAAAAAGAAAGAAAAATAGTATTTTAAAAGAGCTAAGGGTTTTTTGTCATTTATCAAAAAGTACAGGTGCCATTATGATAATAAAGTACTGCATCTCTTAAAAATCAAATCCTATTCTGGTAAGCCATTAATTAATCAATCCATGCTGTTAAAGGTTTAGGCACCATTCTAAAATTAAGGCAGCGAAATAGGGACAATTTGGAATTTGGAAAAACATGGTTCTCAAATTACTTTACTACCAATCTGGTAAAAACCTGATGGCATCATTTAATTCTTTTGAACATATGATTTTCATAAACCAGTTCTGCATAAACTACATATAAGCCCAAGTATGAGAAAACTAATGGCTGGTGTCCAAACATTCCAGAGAGCAGTTCTTTCCTGTTAAGAACACACTGTCCTACCAGCACAGTGCAAGATCCACATGTTATTTCCCCCTCAGATAAGCAGGATAGTGAAATCTTTAGAGCCTGATAAGGCTGCTGTTGCCAAGATTCCACTAGCCTATACCATTTTTTAAAATCTTTCTAAATTGGAAGTGGGTTGTTTCATGTACAGTAATCAGACGAACTGTTACGACACTCAGTTAAGCCTGAGTCTAAGCTCACGATTTCGCTGCCTTCGTTTCATTACAACCTTTGTATTAAAATAGTTGGTTTAGTTGATGATTAACAACTGAAGTTTAAAATGAATTAGTTTATGAAGTCAAAGCCTTTGGAATATTTGGTTGGTAGATATAGCATGCTAACCATTTTGCGTCTAGTCACAAACTTGCTGCTTCTAGATTTTTGGTTAAGTACGTACACTTACCTAGTGAAAATGGAATGAATGCTTCTTTCTTGACAAATTGTCCAGAGCTGTCCAAAAACCTCTCAGGACAAAACATTTCAGGGTTACTCCAGTATTTTTCATCAAAGTGTACAGAGTAGAGATTTGTAATGACTGTAGTGCCTTGAGGGATAGAATAGCCACGTACAACTGTATCCTTAGAAGTCGCATGGAAAATACCTAGTGGAGCTACGTTACAGAATCTTAAAATTTCATGCAGTACTGCCTCAGTGTATGGCATTTTACACCTTTCTTCTAGGCAAGGTGTTTTGTTCGGCCCAATAATTAAATCGATTTCTTTATGAACTTGCCCTGTTGGAGAAAAAGCTTTTAGTTTATTGAGTAACTGTTTGGCAAAAATAAGTAGACACGTTCATTCTACATTTAACTTTGAAACCTTTAAATATATTTGTAGCCCCACTGATTTTGTGTACATTAGCCACATCCACTAGTCATGGAGAATCCTGGAAATTGTAGTTTGTTAAGGGTGCTGTGAACTGTAGGTCTGTGAGGGGTAACTACAATTTTCAGGATTCTTTGGGGGGAAATCATGACTGTTGAAGTGGTATAAGCATACTTTATGGTGTCAGGTGTGACCTTTGAACCAAATACAGTCGTACCTTGGATCCTGAATGCCCTGGAACTTGGATGTTTTTGCTCCCGAACATCACAAACCCTGAGGTGATTGTTCCAGTTTTTGAACGTTCTTTTGGAACCTGAATGTCTGACAGGGCTTCCGTGGCTTCTGATTGGCTTTGGTTTTTGAACGTTTTGGAAGTCGAACAGATTTCTGGAACGGATTCCATTTGACTTCCAAGGTACGACTGTACTCCAGTACAGTCAGCTGAATAGATGATGCAGCATTGTTTTGTCAGTTTCCCTCCCCTACTTTCCCTGTTAAAATCTACTCTGGAGTCTTGCAGAATACTCTAGAACAGCATGGAGTCAGTAACTGGGAAGGATAAGTTGGGAAATAGGCCCCTTTTCCACCAGCAGACACATCCTGAACAAACTCTGCTCAAAGGATACAACTTCCAGTGGGACCAAACTCTAGTTTCAACCTAATGTATTCAGATTGGGTAAAGATTTAACAAGTGCTGTTAATACCTTGCTTGGAATGCACATTCTTAAACATAAAAACAAAACACATCACGGCATATGGCATAACTTACCTTGAATATTAGGATAAAGAGCCATGAACAACACTGCCCATCTTAGAACATTTGTTGTAGTTTCTGTTCCAGCAATTATTATTTCTCCAGCAGAGAAAATTAAGTTTTCTGTTGTAAATGTAGACTCGGGGTCATTTTTATTTTTGTCCATCTCATCAAAATATGCATCTATAAAATGCCTTGGTGACTGAGGTTTCCTATTTTGTGAGAAACGCTCAATAAGGTGGAGTAGAAAAGTATAGACTTCAGATGCATTTTTAAAGAGTTGCTGATGCTTTCCAAAGGGCAAGGCACCGATCCATGGAAAAGCATTGTACAAAAATGCAGAAGAACTAGCTGCCAGTTCAATGTTTTCACTAAATATGTCCATCATATGCTGAAATTCAGTGTCTTCATATGTAAACCGTTCTCCAAAAAGAATCAAGTTAGTAATATTTGAAACTGCATTTGTTATCAAGTATTTCAGATCAAAAGGCTTGCCCTTATAGGTATCAATGGCCTCAAGGAAAATGACTGATTCTTCTGATATTTTGCTTTCGAAGGACTTTTGACCATATCCAAAAATACGGAAGCTTGTTACAGCCAGCTTGCGATGCTCTGTCCAACCTCTGCCATAACTTGAGTTCAATAAACCTGAAAGATACAAGCGTCAATATGCTTAACCCAGGATCTTACTTCCTATTTCATCCATATGATCTTTTTATGATCTGCAGCTACACACACACAGTTACACACACGTACAAACAAAAACGGTATCCTAAATTCATCACAGTGAATTAGTTTTACTGTTATCTTTCTAGAGTTAATGACTTCAGAATTATGTCCCATGTTTTTAAGTGCATGCAACATTATACCTACTCAAAATGCAACCTGTTTATAGCACTTTGGGAACTGCATGAGTAAAAATGTTCTTTTTAATGCCAATTTCCACTTCCCTGAAGTTTCAAGGTAGCCTTTTCCTAAGCCAGTTTCCTTGTAAAGTGTATACTGGTGATTTATGTAATAGATGCTTATTTACAAATACAAAAAGTCAAGTGGGGCGGAGGGAAGGCAGGCACCAAGACAGGCAGTGCTAGGCAAAGATATAAAGATCAATCAAGTATTTCTGTACATCCAAGATTTTTTTTGTGTGTGTGTGGGAGGAGAGTGTTTCTTAACAGCAAACCAGTATACCTTCTCACCTATCCCACAAGGTAAACAGCTTTTGAAACAGAGTGTGACGTAGAAAATCGGCTTGAGTTAGAGTGACAAAACTTGCTTAAAGACATTTTTAATTTAGATTACACTTGAGGAACTGAATTGCTGTAAAATTACAGAAGACAGATAAATAGATTTACATGCAATTTTTAAAATCTTCCAAAACCTTTTTTTAAAAAATCATTTAATTTATATATATTTTTTATTAATAGGGTTGGCTAAAGCTTATGTATCCCTTAGGGTGCTGTTAGTATCTTTGAGAACTTGATGCAGGACTAGTGACTAAGTTGCTGGCTAGCTGGATAGTTCAGTTGGTTAGAGTGCGGTGCTAACATTGCCAAGGTTGCAGGTTCGATCCCCATAAGAGACAGCTGCATATTCCTGCATTTCAGGGGTTTGGAGTAGATGATCCTCAGGGTCCCTTCCAACTCTGATTGTAAATAAGGTTTTACAAGGACACATTAATTCTCCAATGCTCTCATGCCCAGAAGAAACTAAACTCAATCTCTGGAGCTTTCATCACCTTGAAGTGTTTCAACAGTGGTACCTCTAGCTGCGGACTTAATCTATTTAAGGGTGCCATTCGCACCCCGAAATGTCTGCAACTAGAGCGCCTCTTCAGTGCATGTGCAATCGAGTGCTTCTGCGCATGTGCGCAGATCGCTTCTGTGCATGCGGCGAACCCGGAAGTAAACACTTTCAGGTTTGCCGCGTTCGTAAGCTGAAAGTCCATAACAAGAGCAGAACTCAACTAGAGGTACCACTGTATTACTTAGCTATGTATCTTGGTCTCCCAATCTAGTTTGCAGTGTACACTAAGCATTACACGCAAATACATGTAAACAGAGTACCATAAGCTAATAAGCAGTCTTAGGAAGATACAATTCTAAGTGGAGGAGTGTCATGGAAGAGAACACTTCCCATTGGTTTTTCTGCTCAATGTCACCTGTGTTTTCCCACATGGGGTTCTGGATGCCAATTTACTAGGGTGCCACACAAATTTGAGCCCACCCATTTTGATATTACTAGCTTAAGTCAACTGCAAATCACTGTTGCATAAACATTACAGAATAGGTTTGTTTTTAATTGATGAAAGGCATTTATAAAAGGTATTAAATGCAATTCAGCAATATCTTTTAAGGAACATTTAAGGAATGTACAAATGAAAAATGAAAGAAAAAACAACCCATGAGATTATCAATGCGCTCCAAATTCTGCAAGCAGTGAGTAGGGGCAGAGAGGGACAAGTCTAGGGCACAAGTTAAGCACTTTTATAAAAGTCCAGTCAATTTAAATGAAACAGTTTAACACATTCTTACATTTTTTCCATGTTTTCTACTAGATTGTGGCAGATTTAGCTTTCTGTTATACTGCTGCAGGGGGGAGGGGGTCCACGTCTTTGTTCTGTGAACTACCCTGAGACCTCCGAGTATAGGGCAGTATTCAATAAATATTAATAATAAAAACAGGTGCTGAACCACTGTAGTAAGGGTTCCTAAACAATGGCAACCTGCTAGTTCTACAATGGATCTCTCACAATGATAAAAGCAAAGGTAGCAAAGCTACAGTTAAAAAGGAATTGTGCATTAAACATACCTTCGTGAAATACACAAATACCAAAATGTTGCAATGCTTCCTATGTGTGCATTAACCTTGGCACACGAATGAATGGGCCTCAGGCCACCCCCTTGACTCTTCCAGTTGTTCCTCCCCACATTTGATTGTCATGAGTAGTACTGCGTAAGAGAAAGGGATTGCAGGAGGGTTATTGTTGCTGCCTCCATTGCACTCTTGCTGTAATGTTTACTGAAAGAGCCTATGAGGTGGGTAGAGTTGGGGGCGAGGGGCGGACTTCAAGGGATGGAATGATCAGAAATATAGCCTGCCTAAGTATGAAGCCATCTTATTCTTCCTGGCTAAAGGACATTTCCAACAGTGCACATCAACAGCCAGCTTCAAGTTTGATTTCCCAATGTTGCCCTTTGGACAGAGCTTGAGGAATTTTGCAGACCAAGTCAGAAAGTACATACAAATGAAAAATGCTCTCAGGGTTGTTTCTTTAAAGTTAGTAAGAAGACAGAATTGCAGGCACCTTTTTTAAAAGCATATACCCAATACACTAATAAGTCTCTATTAAAACAACAACAACAACACGTACCTCCCATTTTTGTCAGCTTCTTGAACAAAGGAAGAGATGGCCTGTCTGCAAAAATCTCACTCTGCTGAACAAGGCATTCTTTTACTGCATCATAGCCATTCAGGACAATAGTTGATATCCCTCCAAGATCAAGGCTAAATACCTTTAAAAAAAAATATTACATGTCACTTTCAAGAATTGGGGTGGGGGGGTGGGCAGAGAGAGAAATACTAGTTTCTTTTTCTTTAGAAATGTTCGTTTGGTCCATGGGCAGCACAACAGGTATGCTTCTAACACCACATGATGCTCACAAATATGCTACATGTGCTATGCAGAAAGATTACAGTTGCATAACAATATCGCAGTTTGCCTTCATTCACAGACGGTTATATGTCAAAAATCTCTGGAACTATCATACAACATCAATAATATATCTTTCCAGTCCAACATGTTGGCTAGGCTTACTGTCAGACACATGAGCTTCCTACTTATTGCTTCACTTTGCAGGAGGAACATTGTCTGCATCATTCTTAAAGTGAATGCATTACCTGTCACAAGAGATAAACATAAATTGGCAATATGTTTCTGTGGCAGCAGGAATGACACGTCACGAACAAAGTGTCCCTGAGCAGAAGATGAAAAAAATTCTGCAGTAAGAGGCATGCTTCTGTTAAGATTACGCAACAGTTGCCTCACTATCTTTAGAAGACATCCAAACTAGAAAACAGTTGTTTAATTTAAGCTATACCGTGGTACCTCCGCTTACAAACTTAATTCGTTCTAGAGATCTGTTCTTAAGCCGAAACTGCTTGTAACATGAGGCGTGCTTCTGCTAATGGCGCTTCCCGCTGCCGCCACGCGACTACTGCTCACATCCCAGGGCAAAGTTTGCAACAAGGGGCATCTACTTCCGGGTTAGCGGAGCTCGTAACCAGCAGCGTTCGCAAGCAGGACAGTACATAACACAAGGTTCCACTGTAGTGAGCAAGCAAGGGTCTGAAACCACATTTTTATCCAAACTTTTATCCAAACCAACCAGAGTTTAAAGCAGTTTTGTAAATAAGTTCAGAAATTACTAGCACACCTAGTCCACGTTTCCATACTAGCTACTTTAAAAAAATTCTTCTACAAGCAGGGAGGACAGGTTGATCCTTGCTCCTTCCTCCATTGCTAGCAGTAGACCAGGCATAGGCAAACTCGGCCCACAATCCCTAGCTAACAGGACCAGTGGTCAGGGATGATGGGAATTGTAGTCCCAAAACATCTGGAGGGCTGAGTTTGCCTATGCCTGCAGTAGACTATTGGAGGAGGCATGGAGAAATCTGCCCTGCCTCTGCCAGACTTAGAATCATAAAATCACAAATCTAGAGTAAGAAGGGACCACAATGGTCATCTAGTTCAACCCGCTGCAGTGCAGGAATCTTTTGTCCAACGTGAGGCTCAAACCCACGACCCTGAGATTAAGAGTGAGCCAAACCTCTTGCTTGCATGGAATTCCTGCTCACTTAAGGTTACCAGGCAAGTTGTTAAATACTTGGCTGGTCCAGACAAGCCACATTTAAGACGCCACAGGGAACTGTGGTTAGTTCTGTGGTATGTGAAGGAGAAGGCTTATGCAGGCTTATTCACATAGTGGGAAACCATGGTTTAATTGTATACCATACAAGAAAGTATATTTTATCATTTTTCTGTACTGATCAAATAGCTGAATATGGAATCATTATTTTTGCAGTTAATAAAAAATTGCATAAAGCTTAAAATTCTGATTTTGGTTTCCAGTTTTTGTCAGCAAATGTTCCTTTTCATAAGCTAAAGGAAAGTGTTTCTATTTGTGACTTATTATGATTGATATGATCACTAAACAAACAAACAAACAAACAAACAACTAAGGGAAACTTTTAAGGAGAAATGTCCTAGTGGTCACTCCTTTTCTTGTTCCTGAGTAATGATATTTTTTCACAAGAAACTCAAGGCACTGTGACTGTCCTCTTTGCATCCCTGCAGTAGAAAACATCCTGTATTCCAAAGAGTATTAAAAAACATGTCCTTTCTTTACAGCAATTGGCAACAAGCCTGTAGGATAGTAAACTGTCAACATTCCAACTGAGTTTATGCTTCTAGCAGCTGTTGATACATTTTAATTTGTTGTAAATGTTTTTAATCAAGATTTTCTAGCTGTCCCGGAGAGAATTTTTAAAGACGAAAAGGTGGGAGATTATTGGTTGTCTCCAAAGCAGCATCAGTGGAGTTTTCCAACCTCTGAAGCTGATTTTGAGGGCATGCAGGGTGTTGCCAGGAAGTTCCATTCATGGAGCAGCAGTGTTGGATGCTATTCTATATACAGACCAACATATCATCACTATGCAGCAGCAGACAACTAAAGTAACAACTTTGCCATTTCTTGTGAAAGTATATTTAACTCTGAGTTGTGGCTGAGCTGGTGCTCTGCTCGATAAATATGAAAGGCAAACAGGCTTAAGTCCCCTAACATCAGGAACGTATGTTAAGAGTCCTCATTGGCTGCAGCTTCATGGTGTATGTTGGCGATGTATTTAGTAATCTGGATGGCATGCAGATGAGGCTTAAATTGAGAGTGCCCCAAGTTCAGTGTTACCCCGCAAAGGGAAGACGTGTTCATTTTACTGATGACTTCCTTCCCCTGTTCTATAACAGTTTTTAAAAACTTGCCACATTCTCTTAGAAATTTAAATAAAGCCCTCTTTGAGGTGGAGTTAGTTTGGTACTATAGTCCAACATGTAAAATAGAAACAAAGATTCCTGTGGCATCTTAAATATCTAGCAGAGTTGAGACACAAAGCCCAGCCCACTTTGACAAGGGTCACAGGGTTTATGTAAAGCAAGGTTTTTGTTTTTTTTTTAATGTTGAACTTGGAGCTGTATTAACAGACAGTATTAGCAACATACTGCACTGGTATGCTTGGTTGACAAGTTAGGCAGCTTTCTGAAAAAAGCGGGTGCACACCTTTACAAAATAGTATTTAATAATGACTATGATGCAACCAAGTCTCATGATTGTACAGTACTGCAAACTTTATATATTTTAAGAATTCTGTGCCAAACACAAGAAGACTCAATACAAAATGGCAAATAATAAACCACATCCTGTTACTGCAGTTCAAATATGCAACAGCCAAAACGTAAAGTGACTTTAAAACAAAGTCCCGTTGATTTCAGCGATACTTAATCCCAAGTAACTAAGCTTAGAATAGCCTCCTAAACCTTCCTGACATAAAAGCTGGTCAATGTAACAAAGCCTTTATGATTTCCTCACTTGCAAGGTGAGTCTTATATAACTCTTTTGTTTGTAAAGTGCTTTCCTAACTGAGGTCTGCCTCCAACAACAACTCTTGCAAGTTGGCCACTAGGCTAACAGTGAAATCCTATACACATCTACTCAGCTTTAGGCTTAACAGGATTTACTCCTAGGTTAAGTGGGTGTAGAACTGCATTTTCTTGCCCGAGAGGAAGCTCATTTAACTGAATGGGGCTCAATTTCTTCTAACAATAGAACTAGCACATTAGCAAAGCTAAGCAGGGTCCGGTATGGTTTCAAATGAGATGGGACCGGGGTTGAGATTCCTGCATTGCAGGGTGTTGGACTAGATGTCAGCCATGAGATTACATGCCCCTTCTAGAGTAGACATGGATACGATTGTCTTGCAAGGGCAGGAAAGAACAGCCTTGGGCAGAGAGGAAGCGAAACTTGAACCCAGATCTGAAAGTGAAGATGTGGAAAGAGTTCAGATCGGGGCTTGTTCACATGAATCGGAAAAGCCTCGTCTTACAACTTAACGGAGGAGTCTTGGAAGTGGCAAATGTCCAAGAGTTAGACCGAGGGGCGCTTGGTCTCTCCAGGGCCAGCTCCTCCTCGGGACCCCCAACCCCCCGCCCGCGGGGCTGCAGTACCTGCCCGTAGAGCTGGCTCTGCCTCTTCATGTAGACGTGCGGCTGCTCCGAGGCCAGCGAGTGGATGTTGCCGATGAGAGGCAGCCCCGGCGGGCCGGGCGGGAAGCCCACCGGCCGCCTCTGCTTCAGCAGCTGCCTCACCACCAGCGGCAGCAACAGCAGCACGAGGACGCCGGCGCCCACAGCCGCCGCACCGGCCGAGCCCACTCCCGGGACCCCGGACCACATTTCCCGCTCCTGCCGGCCCCAGCCAGCCAGTCGCCGGCTCTGCTCTCGCGCTCCCTTTCTCCTCTTTCTCCAAACACGCAGAAACAACAACATCCCTCGGCCCGCTTGCCGCGTCTTCTTATAGGACGCCGGCGGCGCTCGTCAGGCGAAGCCGAGCCTGATTGGTTGAGCCGCCTCGCGCTCTTTTCCCCCCGGCCCCTCCTCTCGCGCCGCGCTTGTTCTGGAGTTGCGCCTGGGGACAGTTCGCGAGTGGGATCCTGGGGGGTCGGGAGTTCCCACGGGAGCAGCTGCAACTCCATTTCCCGCTGCGGCTTCCCCACCCACCCCGTCAAGACGCGCGTTTATCTCCCCACACAAGCTTGCTTCATCATAAGCAGCGGCTCTTCCTTGCATAACAGGCAGCAATTGCTGCAAACTGATTTGAATAGGGGCGGGGAAGGCTCACCTGATAGCAAATTCAGGTCAGGGGCAGCAGCGGGGGGGGGGGGCATTCGGAAAGAGGCAGGGATTTCCCCGTTTCTGAAAGCCTGAGAATTCCCGGCAAAAGCCCGTCCTTTCAGCGCTAAGCTCTTTCCGCTGGCTGCCCCATCCTCAGAGCAAAGGTTAAAAGAACAACTCATTTCTATACTCTTTTTTAAAAAATAATTTTGTAGCATTTCCAGTTGTCAAACCTGAAACTCCTTGTTCTTGCAGTTCTCTCTCTCTCTCTCTCTCTCTCTCTCTCTCTCTCTCTCTCTCTGTGTGTGTGTGTGTGTGTGTGTACACTTGATGCCACAACAAAGCTGTGGTACACATGGCTGTCACATGGAGAGCATTTTAATTTATTTCATGGAAGCTGTTCCTGAAGGAAGAACTGTGAGGGGAGAGACTCCATCAGGCAAGGCCTCCTTCCACCTGCCTTGCTCCACCCTCTAGTCTCTGCTTTTCAGTTTGTATTATTTTATGTACTGTGGCTTGCTGTTGTTTTATTGATTATAGTTTAGAAATTATTTGTTGTATCTGCTGTTTAACTTTTATATGTTGTTATTATTATTTAATACTATTGTAATGATTGTTGAATGTTACTTTTTTTATACAGGTTACCTATTTTAAAGTTATCTTTTATTATCACATTTTTGTATTGCATTAGACTGTTGTAAGATGTACAGTTTTTGTTTCTTCAGCTTGTAAACCACCTTCAGTATTGTAAGATAGAAAGATGGTATACAAATTACCGGTAAAAATTATGATGATAAGCCATTCCCAGTATGCGGTGAGTTATTTGCAAGTAGTGGCTCACCACATGAATCATGGTTGCTACTTCCTTGTGGTAGAATAGACACCAAGACCAGTTGGTATGAAAAGGGCTGTTTCACATATAAATGTACTTCTTCAGTTTACTGTAGGCTTGATCATAAACAACAGAATGTGTGAACAGACCCCCAACGAAGAACATTGGCTTGGATCTGAAGATAAATGAAGGTTCCTCTGCCTGATTTTGAGTGATCCCCTGATCCCCTGCAGCTTCCTGTGGCCAACAGAAGGCTGTCCAGCATCTGACTGAATGTTTGCAGATAGAGAGAGCTCTTCCATTGTACAACTGCTCTTCCTGTCAACAAGCATCTCCTTAGGTTGACTCATCAATCTAACCTCCTGTAACTTAAGCTCATTAGATCTAGCCTGCCCTCTATCACTCTACAATAATTGAAAACATTTCATATATAAAGTTTTCATGTTTTGTTATAAAAAAATTAAATTTATCACAAGGGATGATTGTAACTAATCTTAACTGTTTATAATGGTTTTAATAATTACATGTGGGTAATTTTGATTTTCGGATAACTAAATAAAGGTGAAAATCATCTTTGAATGTGTGAGTTTTCATGCTATAATAATGATTTTAAGCTGCATTCTGTAGGCAGTGGTGAATCTCCTCCCACCCATCTTGCACTTGGTGTTCAGACATCACTTGCACCACTCTAGTTACACTGTGAACTGCCCTGAGGTTCAGAGATTATGTCTTTCGCCTAAGTGACCGCTCTTCAGGTCTTTGAGGAGTGCTGTCATGTTCCTCCCTCCAGTCTTCTCTTGCCTAAACACACACAGTTCCTACAACCTCCTCATAGGAATTATGATCCACATCTCCAATTATCTTTGGTGTCTTTTGAACTCATTCCAGTTTGTCTACCCAGAATTGGAGATTGTATTGATGACATCTGACTAGTGCAACATAAAGTGGAACTATTGTTTCCTGCAGCTTGGAAGCCTTTATTGCTACAACCTAAAATAATATCTTCTTCCTCTTCCTCACAGCCACATCACACTTCTTTGGCTCATGTTCGGCTTGCTTTTGTTTTGTTTTCACGTGTACTATTGCCAAGTCAGGGCCGGCCTGCTCATGAGGCAAGGTGAGGCAACCGCCTTAGGTAGCAGACTCTGGAGAGCTGTGATGGGTGGCATGTCTGTGCCTGCCACCCCCCACTGTGTGCTGCTGAAAGAGAGAGGTGGGTGATGGAAAAGGCGCTCAAGGGAATTGGTTCACAGCCAGCATGTTTTTCTCTCTCAGGGAGAGGGACATTCAGAAACGAGAGAGAAGTGAAGATCAGGATCAGAAACAAGCAAGGATTGAAGATCAACATTGAGGGGAAATAAGGGGAGAGAAAAGATCAGCATTGGGATGCAGGGGTGAGGAGCCCCAGTTGTATTTTTAAAAGCACCCTTCACAAGCTACAGTTGGGAGAATGCCAATTTTTTATTTGCCTCAGGTGCCAATATCTGGGGCCGGCCCTCCATCCTATACCTATGCATTTTATTTTTAGTCCTAAATGCAGAACTTTGGCGGTTCTGCTGAATTTCCTTTATTGGCAGCCCAATTTCCCATGCTCTCCAGGTTAATTTTGAATACAATTCCTGTCTTCTAAGGCATTTACTATCCCTCCCAGTTTTGCATCATCAACAAATTTGATAAGGATTCCTTCCACCCCTTCATCAAAGTTATTGATACAAAAGTTTGAAGAGTACTGGTCCTCGGACAGAGCCTTGCAGCATCTCACTCCTTACCTTGTTCCAGTTTGATGAGCACTCTTTGTGTACAGTTTTCTAACCATCTATGAATCCACCAGGTGACATCATCATTAGCATGCACTTAACCAGTTTGCTAGTCAAAATATTTTGGAAAAATTTGTCAAAAGCTTTGCTGACTTCAAGATAAATTCCTCCAGAGCATTCCTACCACCACCACCACCCAGGTTTGTTTTTGTTTTTGTTTTTTATAAATCAAGTACCAAACTAAAGGAATAATGAAAAAAAATCTCAAGTGCCTTGAAAATGAGGCAAAATCAATCAATCAATCAATCAATCAATCAATCAATCAATTAAAATGCCTCTTTTATAGTGAAAGAAAATGTTCAGGAATCTGTAGGACAGCTTTCAGCACAGTACTAGTTAGTTTAGAACAGCCATAACAAAATATTACATAAATCTGCAATTAAAAAAAATAAACTTTAGAGAAACTTCTTTTCCTTTTCCCTTTAAGGAAAAACATGTTGAATAAGCATGCTAATTTTTCATTTGGAGTATGAGACTCTGTTTCATAAGACTTTTAGTAGATGAGGTGCCAAGAAGATTTTATCTGGAAGATTAATCATAAGTCATGTTGATGCTATCAGAAATACCTTCTATTATCTTAATTAAAATGTTTTGGTGGCAAGAACTTTTTGCTGCAACATGGCAATCCCCTTGGAAATTTCTGAACGGTACATGCAAAAATATTGGAATCAGTTTTTGTCATATTTTCTTTTTATTACTCTTTAACCATTTTATTATTATTATTTATGTATATTATTTTTGAGACCTGTGCTTTTTAACTTGTTCATAACTGATCTGAGTTAGGGGTGGGCAGTGAGGTCCCAAGTTTCCTGATGGGACCAATTTTTTCAGGGTCATTAAAAGAAAGGACTTCTCCAAATGGGTAGTAAATGAATGGGTAGTAAATTGGGAAATGCAATTCAATGCAAGCAAATGTAAAGTAATGTATATTGGAGCAAAATTTCCCCATATACAAATACACACACACACACACACACACACAGAGAGAGAGAGAGAGAGAGAGAGAGAGAGAGAGAGAGAGAGAGAGAGAGATATGCATGCTATCTTCCATAGCACAGCCTTCTCCAACTGGTGTACAAAAGATATGGGATATGGGGATCTAAATCTATCTCGCGATAATTGAGCCTCATGTTCAAAGCAGGAACATTGTGCTTCCAAATCATTTATAGTGCATTATAGTGCAGTCCACTTACAATGCTTCCACTCCAGATTCTGTAATTTGAAAGACTATGTAATTTGAACAGCTTTCATGTATGGTTTAGACTGGCTTGACCGTCTGTTCACCAAATCATGTCACGTCTGCATGACAGGCAGGGTATACTACTGAATTTAAGGACAGTCTCCATTTAACATCCTATTAAATTTGTGTGCCCACACAAACCTACAAACACAAGTTCCTTTTATATGCTTTGAAAATAACTGATGGAAAAATATTTCCATGGTAGTGTGAAGCAATAGAGATGGTTCAAACGAGGGAACATTCTCCTCCATCTGCAAATAAATCTAAATGAGACATTATGAAGGCATCTATGAATTCATGGGTGTATCATGAGATGCTTATCTAAATTTATGTTAGGAAAGTTAGCACATTTTCAGTGAGGTCATAAATTTCTACTGAAGAAATACAGATATGGTGTTCAATACAGGAACAAACAGTGCCAGGGAACTGATTGTGGTGCTGGATCCCATTACCTCCTTCTACCATTTTACAAGGGATGTGGGTGGCGCTGTGGTCTAAACCACAGAGCCTAGGGCTTGCCGATCAGTCCGTGACTGGACCTAACGGTCAGGGGTACCTTTACCTTTTTACCATTTTACATAGCAGCATAAAAGAAGAAACATTGTTGGACCTTCTTGGCCTTTCCCCCCACCATGGGTCAACTTTGATGGGTGGTGGGACAATTCACTTGTCAGTCACCTGGTGTCAGCATGACATTAGATCAGGCACCCCCAAACTCAGCCCTCCAGCTGTTTTGGGACCACAATTCCCATCACCCCTGACCACTGGTCCTGTTAGCTAGGGATGATGGGAGTTGTAGTCCCAAAACAGCTGGAGGGCTGAGTTTGGGGATGCCTGCATTAGATGGTTGACAGGTTGTCTCACCCACCTGTTGAAG